TTTTTTTGTATTTAATGACCAGAACTATTTAAAATTGTTGCATAGAGCTCTAGAACTTTTCAAGAGAGTATCAGAACTGCAAAAAAAATGTCACATTTTTTAATATGGTGTGCCAAGACTTGGCACACCATATTTAAAAATGTGACATTTTTTTGTATTTAATGACCAGAACTATTTAAAATTGTTGCATAGAGCTCTAGAACTTTTCAAGAGAGTATCAGAACTGCAAAAAAAATGTCACTTTTTTGAATATGGTGTGCCAAGACTTGGCGCACACACCCAATGGGCGCGTTCAGCGGAAAAAGCGCTCAGTGAGCAATCAGAGATTATTGTAGTTCTTACTATTAGATCCCTAAATCTAGACCAATTACATTGACGAATTGCTCAACTGTTGTGCAACTGTTGAGTTCGCTGAACTCAAAGACTGTGATCTATGCTGACATCAGAGAGTCAATTCTGTATCTCGAAACGAAGTGAAAATTACAAAAGTGAACACATTCACTAGGCACTGACCAATGAAATTACGAATATTCTAGTATATTTGCTCACTTTTGTCATTTTCACTTCGTTTCGAGATACAGAATCGACTCCCAGGCCTGAAACACAATACGCTGTATGTCGGAGTTGGATGGCGGAACGCAGCCGATGGTTCAATGAGGAGAACTCATTCTCGAAAAATAAGTTCTCTCATTGGATCATCGATTGTGTTCCGACATCCAACTCCGACATATAGCGATTGTGTTCAAAGCCTCAAGGGCTGTATTCCAAAATTCTACTTAGTGAGTAGAGTCATTTAATTGACCAATCATGATAAAGAAATCCTAGTTATCTTTGTTCTTATTGGTTAATTAAATACTATTCTACCCGTCGAGTAGAGTTTTGGAACGCATTCAAGCGTGCGTTTGAAAACTCTACCCGAGTGCACTCGCTGCGTTGGAGTGAGAAAAATACAAGAGTGAGATAAAGAGGGAGGAGAAGCACCCGGGTGGAGTTTTCGAACGCGCTTCAAGGCGTCAAACGAGAAGTGAAGATAGTAGTACGACCGACCAATATGTCGGACGCTTTATTAAGTAGTACTATTCAATGGCGGATAAGGCGTCTTTTTATTCCATTACAATTTAGCGTTATAAAAAGTAATATTCTTAAGAAAGCCGGCAAACATTAAAAACATATTCTACAATCGCCGCTCTTTCTGACTTTTTTCTGCTTCACGCATTTTATATATTTTCTTATATATTTCGCGGTGATGTAAGAGTTATATATAACTCGATCGTCTGAGTCGGTCAGTTGTATCATCGCTATCATTGGCGCTGAGACATAATCGTCCGTCCACTAAGCACTTGGTACTAACGGTAAGTGTTCTCGATTACGTTTCCAGTGTTACAGTCAACACGGTATAGGAACGTCAATTGTGTCAGATCGAAGTGGAGCGAGTTCAGTTCGCGATTAAATTGTACGAGTAACTGTTGACCCAGTGACTGACATTTCCATATTATCGACAAGGTGATTCGCGCGCGTGCACTCGACGGCGTACCAGTGTGCGATAATCAGCTATTGATCCCGACAGCGGCAGGTTGATCTTGCCACACCCTACAGCTTAGTGGCCATTTTGGACACGACAGAAGACTCGCTTCTTCTGCTTCCCCAATCATGGATCAAATCACGCCTAAGGAAGTGAAGATTCTTGAGAATCCCGAGGACATTCAAGATAGACGTGACCAAGTGCTGCGACGATATGCCAACTTCAAGGTGGAAGCGCGCAACAAGCGCGAAAGACTCGAAGACTCCCGTCGCTTTCAAGTATGTGCTCAAGTGTTTAGTCGTTTAAGCTGTCATACAGCAATTATACATAATTCTTAGGACGTTATCTAATGTGCTCGCCTTCTTTCAGTATTTTAAGCGAGATGCGGATGAACTCGAGGGATGGATTTATGAGAAACTCCAGGCAGCTTCTGATGAGAGCTACAAAGATCCAACTAATCTGCAGGCAAAAATTCAGAAACATCAGGCCTTCGAGGCAGAAGTCGCAGCTCATTCAAATGCCATTGTGCTACTTGACAATACTGGCTCAGAAATGATAGCTCAACATCATTTTGACAGCGATACAATTCGCAAAAGATTAGGTGTGTTTAAGTGTCAGAGATACTAAAGCACATTAATTTAAGATTCATTTGTTTTTGGATTAGATATTTTATCAATTATTTAAATACTTATAGAATATATTAACAAACTTAAGTAAAATAAAAACATTATATAGCTGTTTGCATAAAGATTATGACAATTTTCTGGGACAAGTATATATAGCTCAATGAGATTTATACTTCTGTTTATAAATTATCTTTGTACATTTTATATTTAAAAATTTGATAGCTCTTAAATCTCTTAATTCTTGAGCTCATACACAATCTCATTCACTTTACATATAAATTTTGCTAAAAAAAGAAATATGCAGTCTTTATGCAAATAACTCTATTTATGATAAATTAATTTGTTAATTGATGCAATATATGTAATTATATTATCCATTATATACAAAGTGACAATTTATGATATAATCATTATGTACAGATAGAACTCGTCAAACTAAATATAAAATTTTTTTATCATTTCACAAATAACTATATAAGATTTTGAGTTATTAAAAAAGGTTAGTGCATGACTGTGCATAATCATGCATTAATCTTTAATAACTAAAAATTTATGTTTATTTGTAAAACGATAAAGAATTTTTTTGTTTAATTACAACAGATAATCACAAATAGATATAATAGGTATATCAGCTATCCTGTACAAAATTAGTTGATGTAATACAAATAATACATATAATTACAGAGGACCTACATCGCCTATGGGAATTACTGTTATCCCGATTGGCTGATAAAGGGCTGAAGCTGCAGCAGGCCTTGGTACTCGTGCAATTTATTCGTCACTGCGACGAGGTAATGTTCTGGATTCATGACAAGGAGGCTTTTGTGACGACCGACGAATTCGGACACGACTTGGAGCACGTGGAGGTGCTTCAAAGGAAATTCGATGAGTTTCAAAAAGACATGGCCAGCCAAGAATACAGAGTCACGGAAGTTAACGAGATGGCGGATAAGCTGCTGCTGGACGGACATCCCGAGCGTGACACTATTCTGCGCAGGAAAGAAGAGCTCAACGAATCTTGGCAAAGATTGAAGCAATTGGCGATACTGCGACAGGAAAAGCTGTTCGGAGCACATGAAATTCAGAGATTTAACCGCGATGCCGACGAGACCATGGCTTGGATCGCGGAGAAAGACGTGGTTCTATCGTATGACGATTTCGGCCGGGACCTCGCCAGTGTACAGACCCTGCAACGAAAACACGAAGGCATCGAACGTGACTTAGCCGCTCTCGAGGATAAAGTGTACACATTAGGTGCAGAGGCAGATCGCCTTGCCGCGATTCATCAGGCGGATCACTCCAACCAGATTCAAGCTAAGCGCGCCGAGATCCTGCAGTCATGGGAGAGTCTGACGGCGAAAGCGAAAGAGCGCCGCCTGAAACTTGACGAGTCTTATTATTTGCATCGCTTCTTGGCTGATTTTCGCGACTTGGTATCATGGATGAACGACATGCGCGCCATCATCTCCGCGGATGAGCTGGCTAAGGACGTAGCTGGTGCTGAAGCCTTAGTCGATAGACATCAAGAGCACAAAGGAGAGATTGATGCCAGAGCAGATAGCTTCGACGCCACTACGTTAGCCGGCAACAAACTTCTGGAGAAAAAACATTACGCGGGCGAAGAAGTAACGCTCAAATTGAATTCTCTTGCTCAAGACAAATCGTCTCTCTTGAACCTATGGGAGAAGAGACGCATCTTGTATGAGCAATGCGTGGACCTGCAGCTGTTTTATCGAGACACCGAGCAGGCGGACGCGTGGATGGCTAAGCAAGAAGCGTTTTTGGCTAACGAGGATTTGGGAGATTCTCTGGACAGCGTGGAGGCGCTTATAAAGAAGCATGAAGACTTCGACAAGTCGTTGGCGGCTCAAGAGGAGAAGATCAAAGTGCTCGATGACTTTGCCGGGAAGTTAATCGAAGGTGAGCATTACGCCGCGGACGATGTGGCGCAACGACGACAGCTATTATTGGAACGACGAGCTGTTCTACTGGAGAAATCCGCTCAAAGACGCCGTCGTTTGGAGGATGCATATAAGCTGCAGCAATTCGAACGAGACTGCGACGAGACAAAGGGCTGGGTGAACGAGAAGCTCAAATTTGCCACCGACGACAGTTATCTGGATCCGACCAATCTAAATGGTAAAGTTCAGAAACATCAAAACTTCGAGCAAGAACTGAACGCCAACAAGACGCGCATGGAGGAAATGGTCGCCACTGGTCAAGAATTAATTGACAGCGACCACTACGCCAGCGATCGTATACGCACCCGCACGGACGAGATCATGACGCTGTGGGAGAGCTTGGCACGAGCCACTGAGAAAAAGGGCGCCAAGTTGCAGGAAGCTTCTCAACAACAGCAGTTTAATCGAACGGTAGAGGACATCGAATTGTGGTTGTCTGAAGTGGAAGGGCAGCTCATGTCAGAAGACTATGGCAAGGATCTTACCTGCGTACAAAATCTGCAGAAGAAGCACGCGCTCTTGGAGGCTGACGTGGGTTCTCACGCCGACAGAATCGACAGTATCTCTCAGGCAGCTGAACAGTTCGTCAAGTCAGGTCACTTCGACGCCGACAACATCAAGTCCAAGCAGGATCAATTGCATGCTAGATACAGCACTCTGCAGCGTCCCATGAGCGTGAGGAAGCAACGACTGTTGGATTCTCTCCAGGTGCAACAACTGTTCAGGGATATTGAAGATGAAGAGGCATGGATTCGTGAGAAAGAACCGGTCGCGGCGTCCACCAATCGCGGTCGCGATCTGATCGGTGTGCAGAATCTTCAGAAGAAGCATCAGGCTGTTTTGGCGGAAATTAATAATCATGAGCCGAGGGTGGCTGCAGTTTGTCAAGCGGGTTCAGCGATGCTGCAAGATGGACATTTCGCTGCTGAAGAGATCAGTCAGCGACTCGCGGCTTTGGACGAGCACTGGGGTCAGCTAAAAGACAAAGCACGACAACGCAAAAACGACCTGGATGATTCTCTGCAGGCGCATCAGTACTTCGCCGACGCAAACGAGGCCGAGTCCTGGATGAAGGAAAAGCGGCCGATTGTGATGAATGGCGATTACGGCAAGGATGAGGATAGCTCGGAGGCTTTGCTGAAAAAGCACGAGGCTCTGGTCAGCGATTTGGAAGCGTTTGCGAGCACGATCGCGGCGTTGAGAGATCAAGCTGCCGCTTGCAGGCAGCAGGAAACGCCCACGGTCGACATCACCGGCAAGGAATGTGTCGTTGCTCTTTATGACTACACCGAAAAGTCGCCTAGAGAGGTATCTATGAAGAAGGGTGACACCCTGACTTTGTTGAACTCTAATAACAAGGACTGGTGGAAAGTCGAGGTGAACGATCGTCAGGGCTTCGTGCCAGCGGCATATGTGAAACGCGTAGAACCAGAAGCAGGTCTCAGCGCGTCCCAGCAGAATCTGGCGAGGGAGCAAAGCTCCATTGCCGCGCGACAAGCACAGATCCAGGGACAGTACGATGATTTGCTACGTCTAGCACGCGAACGGCAGAACAAACTGAACGAAACCGCCAAAGCTTACGTACTGGTGAGAGAGGCAGCGGAATTAGCCACTTGGATCAAGGATAAGGAAAATCATGCTCAAGTACAGGACGTGGGCGAGGATCTTGAGCAAGTAGAGGTTATGCAGAAAAAATTCGACGACTTCCAAGCTGATTTGAAGGCGAATGAGGTTCGCTTAGCCGAAATGAACGAAATCGCCGTGCAGCTGATGAGTCTTGGACAGACTGAGGCGGCGTTGAAGATACAAACGCAGATCCAAGACCTGAACGAGAAGTGGACCAGCTTGCAGACGCTCACCGCGGAACGCGCTAATCAGCTAGGCTCTGCACACGAAGTGCAACGCTTCCATCGCGACGTTGATGAGACAAAGGATTGGATTCGTGAGAAAGACGCGGCGCTGAACAACGACGACCTGGGCAAGGATCTGCGGAGCGTACAGGCTTTGCAACGCAAACACGAGGGTCTCGAGAGAGATCTGGCCGCCTTGGGAGACAAAATTAAGCAATTGGATGAGACAGCCAACCGTCTGATGCAGTCGCATCCGGAGACCGCCGAGCAAACGTACGCCAAGCAGAAGGAGATCAACGAAGAGTGGACTCAGCTGACCGCCAAAGCCAACAGCAGGAAGGAGAAGCTTCTAGACTCCTACGATCTGCAACGCTTCCTCAGCGATTATCGCGACTTGATGGCTTGGATCAACTCGATGATGGGTCTGGTCGCCTCCGAAGAACTCGCTTCGGACGTCACTGGCGCCGAGGCGTTGCTCGAACGTCACCAGGTACGAATATTCTCCGATTTCACCGTGATCATTTACAATATACAATCATCACGTTCAACGAACCACATCGTTCACGAGTCATTTGAATTATAGAATCACAGAGCAGAGATAGACGCGCGATACGGCATACTTCCAGAGGTATAAGAACGTTTGAGCATGCATCGAGCAGGAAGTCGCGGATTTGCCGGCGAGGGTGGCTAAAATTAATCATTATCTCGCACAATCCGGCTCGTTGATGATTTTCTATTCTTTTTTTTCTTCTTTCTCTTCACGAGAAGAGGCTGAGACTGATCTTGTCGAGCAATGTTTTGCAATGAAAATACCGCCTATTAACAGTTTGAGTATTTTCAATGCTTCTAGCGTAATTGCTGCCTTTCTGCTTGTCGTAGTATCTACTCGGGAAAAACGGTTATATATAAATTCTTTTTCTATGGTTATATATAATTATATATGCGATCATATAAAGACAAAATTCTCATATATGAGTCATATATAATTATATATAATTTATATATAATCATATATAATTCTATATAATTATACATATAATAAATTTTTCCCGGGTATTATCGAATGAGTTGATCACAAACGTTAACAAACGTGATTGTGTATTTGACACGAGAAAGACCCGAAGGAAACGGACCACGATTTATCCACGTTGAATTTTCTGCAATTGGTTTTTGTAGGAACATCGTATGGAGATAGACGCTAGAGCGGGCACCTTCCAGGCATTCGAACTGTTCGGTCAACAACTGCTGCAGTCTAGCCATTATGCCAGTGTGGAGATCTTGGAGAAGCTCGAATCCATGTCTGAAGCGCGGCAAGAGTTGGAGAAGGCTTGGATTCAGCGACGCATGCAACTCGACCAAAACCTCGAGCTGCAGTTGTTCTGCAGGGATTGTGAGCAAGCAGAGAACTGGATGAGTGCGCGAGAAGCTTTCCTTAGCAGCGCGGACGTGGTTGACGGCAGCGACAACGTCGAGGCACTCATCAAGAAACACGAAGATTTCGACAAAGCGATTAATGCCCATGAAGAGAAGATCGCCACTTTGCAGACTTTGGCCGATCAGTTGATCGCTGCCGAGCACTACGCTGCTAAACCCATCGACGAAAGACGCTGCCAGGTCTTAGATCGTTGGCGGCATCTAAAGGATGCTCTCATCGAGAAGCGCTCGAAATTGGGCGAATCTCAGACACTGCAGCAATTCTCCAGAGACGCCGACGAAATGGAGAATTGGATTGCCGAAAAACTTCAACTGGCTACTGAGGAAAATTACAAGGACCCGGCCAATATACAGTCGAAACATCAGAAGCATCAAGCTTTCGAGGCCGAATTAGCAGCCAACGCGGATCGTATTCAATCGGTGCTCGCTATGGGAGGTAATCTAGTTGAGAAGCATCAATGTGCTGGCTCGGAGGATGCTGTTCTCAAGAGACTAGCGTCTATTGCCGACCAATGGGAATATTTGACACAGAAGACTACTGAGAAGTCCATGAAATTGAAGGAGGCCAACAAGCAGCGTACCTACATCGCCGCTGTGAAGGATCTCGATTTCTGGCTCGGTGAAGTCGAAAGCTTACTCACATCCGAGGACGCCGGCAAGGATTTGGCATCAGTGCAGAACCTCATGAAGAAGCATAAGCTCGTCGAGGCGGACATACAGGCGCACGAGGAGAGAATCAAGGATATGAATGCGCAAGCTGACTCGTTGATCGAAAGCGGCCAGTTCGACGCTGCCGGCATTCAGGAAAAACGACAGAGCATAAACGAGCGTTACGAGCGCATCAGGAATTTGGCAGCGCACCGACAGGCGAGACTTAACGAGGCCAACACCTTACATCAGTTCTTCCGCGACATCGCCGATGAGGAGTCTTGGATTAAGGAGAAGAAGCTTCTCGTCGGTTCAGATGACTATGGTCGCGATCTTACCGGCGTGCAGAACTTGAAGAAGAAGCACAAAAGATTGGAGGCTGAACTTGGCAGTCACGAGCCTGCCATACAGGCTGTCCAGGAAGCTGGGGAAAAACTCATGGACGTTTCCAATTTGGGAGTGCCCGAGATCGAGCAGCGTCTAAAACTTCTCAATCAGGCATGGGCGGAATTAAAACAGTTGGCTGCTACTCGAGGACAGAAGCTGGATGAGTCTCTAACGTACCAACAATTCCTCGCTAAAGTCGAGGAAGAAGAGGCGTGGATCACCGAGAAGCAGCAGTTACTGTCTGTCGAGGATTATGGCGACACGATGGCCGCTGTTCAAGGTCTATTGAAGAAGCACGACGCGTTCGAGACTGACTTCGCTGCTCACGGAGAGCGTTGTAAGGATATCTGCGAGGCTGGTGAAGCGCTGATTAAAGCCGGTAATCATCGAGCGGACGCTATCGCGCAGAGATGCGATCAGTTGCGCAACAAACTGGAGCAACTGGGAGCGCTTGCGGCTCGCAGGAAAACTCGATTGAACGATAACTCCGCTTACCTGCAATTCATGTGGAAAGCCGACGTGGTAGAGTCATGGATCGCCGACAAGGAGACCCACGTGCGCTCTGAAGAGTTCGGCCGAGATCTCTCCACCGTGCAAACCTTGCTGACGAAGCAGGAAACCTTCGATGCCGGTCTTCACGCGTTCGAACACGAGGGTATTCAGAATATCACTTCGTTAAAGGAGATGCTCGTTGAGTCCGGTCACGATCAAACGCCTAGTATTCAGAAGCGTCACAGTGACGTCATCGTTCGCTGGCAGAAGCTTCTAGCCGATTCGGACGCGAGGAAGCAGCGTCTATTGAGAATGCAGGATCAGTTCAGGCAGATCGAGGAATTGTACCTGACATTCGCGAAGAAAGCTTCCGCCTTCAATTCTTGGTTCGAGAATGCTGAAGAGGATCTCACAGATCCTGTGCGTTGTAACAGTATCGAGGAGATCCGCGCCCTCCGAGAGGCACACGCGCAATTCCAGGCCAGCTTATCCTCGGCTGAAGCCGACTTCCAAGCGTTGGCCGCTCTCGACGGGCAGATTAAAAGCTTCAACGTTGGGCCGAATCCGTACACGTGGTTCACGATGGAGGCATTGGAGGATACTTGGCGAAACTTGCAGAAGATTATCAAGGAGCGCGACGTCGAACTCGCGAAGGAAGCGCAGCGACAAGAGGAAAATGATAAATTGCGCAAGGAGTTTGCCAAGCACGCTAATGCGTTCCATCAATGGCTTGCGGAAACAAGGTTCGTATTGCTTCTGGAGAAATCGTCTCTAATTCGTTTAATTGTTTGGTCAGAAATAAAATATATAAATGTTTTACAGGACATCTATGATGGAAGGATCCGGATCTCTAGAACAGCAACTGGAAGCCACCAAGGTTTGTTCAATTGACATATTTTTTCTGTCAAAAGTATGTTAAAAGCAAAGACGTATAAACATATTGTTATAACATACTTTATTTTTCATTCGGAGTACTGTAATATTATAAGTATGTATAATATTAAAAGTATAACACTATAAATAAATATATTTTCAAACTTACAGCGAAAGACGCAAGAAGTGCGCGCTCGTCGCCAAGACTTAAAGAAAATCGAAGACTTGGGAGCTATTTTGGAGGAACATCTCATTCTGGATAATCGTTACACCGAACATAGTACCGTAGGCTTGGCACAGCAATGGGATCAGTTGGACCAACTGGGAATGCGCATGCAACACAACTTGGAGCAACAGATCCAAGCCCGAAATCAGTCCGGTGTGTCGGAAGATGCGCTCAAAGAATTCTCCATGATGTTCAAGCACTTCGACAAAGATAAGAGTGGTCGTCTGAATCACCAGGAATTCAAGTCGTGTCTGAGAGCTCTGGGTTACGACCTACCAATGATGGAAGAAGGACAACCTGATCCTGAATTCGAGAATATATTAGGTTTTATTATTGCTTTCCATATTCTATTATTCCGATTATTCCAGACTTCCAATTTAACGCCTGATATTATTTTTCGCAGATATCGTGGATCCGAACAGAGATGGTTATGTATCGTTGCAAGAATATATGGCCTTTATGATCAGCAAAGAAACGGAGAACGTGCAGAGCTCGGAAGAAATAGAGAACGCTTTCCGAGCCATCACTGCGGCAGATCGGCCATATGTCACTAAGGAGGAATTATATGCTGTGAGTATATCCGTCGCGAAATACTCGGGTCTAAAATATGATGATCTTAATACAACTTGTTATATTGATTAATTTTTTTTTGTTTAGAACCTCACGAAGGAGATGGCCGATTACTGTGTCGCTCGTATGAAACCTTACGTAGATCCCAAGTCGGAACGACCGATAACAGCAGCGTTGGATTATATAGAGTTTACACATACTCTTTTCCAAAATTAATCGCGCATATATACCTATTATTATCTATTATTCTCACCTTTTCAAGCTTATTAAATTATAACCATATAAACCGTACAGGATATCGCATTTTTCTTCAAACAGATCACGTTTGACTAATATTTCTATTAATATATTAATACATTAATATATTATCGCTTGGAATATCTATATTAAATTATCTTATCGCACATAGATGAATTAGTTGATGCAAAAACTTGTTGGCTTGTTTTTGAGCGTAAAATATATATAAACAAATTTTTCTTCTTTGTGAACAATTGCAATATCTTTTATTATCTTTTTTATTATATAATAGGAATATACGTAAATGACATAAAATAAAGGTTACAGAAATATCACTTGTATTTTATTGAGTAGCTATATTTACAACCATTTGAGACTTTTCTTGTATCATTTGTTCGACGCAGTAAAGTTTCCAACATATTAAGTAATCTCTGGCGATTTTGAACAAAGTGTAATAATTCATGAAAAGCAGTAACCCCAACGATAGTAACTGATACCATTCGATTGCGCCTAATATAATAAACAATTCAATGCCCACCAATATTAAATGCGTTACTAATACTAAACACAGCAGTATTATCGGATTGTAGAAAAAAACCTGTCGAAATATGTAAATGTGATTAGTAAGTTTGCTAATTGAATGTTTCAATATGTTCGCCGATATTTGGCTATTACGTACATTAAATCTAGAATGCTCCATATTGCCCGGTTCTGCCGCTGTACATAAACCTACGGAACGGTAGATTGCTCTGTTATACCGTACGATCGACCCACGGGGCCATAACACCGCGTCGCTCCATGGCTGAATGTAAACATTATTGCGATTTTCATTGGCTATCTTATCCCATCGTCCTAAATGCAACGCCGCTCTGTGCAGCACGTCGTAGTATCTAAAAATCGTCACATGCACGTTAATTATCGTCTCTAATACTGACAAACAATTCTTGTCGCGAAGGTATATACTGACCTCATGGGACAAGTGTGAACGAAGTACGCACTCATTCTTTCGAACCAGAAGAAAACCGCTTGCTGTATCACCCACTGACGGTTGAAATATAAATGCGGCGGCGCGAAAATCATGGGAACAACACCGCATATGAACGCGGTACCAGAGGACGCGAATAAAGCGTGTTTTATTCGTCGATTAAAACCTAATTTTAGAGTGGAGACTTCTGCTCTGATGGCTGGTGCATTCAACGAGCAGTTATGCAGAGGCTTATCTATATGCCAACAAAGAAGGGAGTTGTAATACTAAATTCCAGAAATTAATAATGCAAATAAGTAAATAAAGCACAATTTCCTTATCATATGTGAGTAATGATATGTACCTAATAAATACTTCATTTTCCTTTCCTCCTTTCCACAAAGGGATGATGCAGAGATATCATAGAATGGTGTTAGATTTACTCCAAACATACTAAAATATATTGACAAACTTCTGAAATAGTGAGAGAAATAAACATCATGAATAATACACTTTTAACTATATTAGGAAAGAAATATTTGTATAAATAGTGACAAATATTACTTATCATTATTTATGATAAAAATATCACTAATATGCTAAATATTACTTATCATTTACACATGCTAATATGTATATGTAGGAGGAAAAAATACACACGGATAACATAGATAGAACATTTTCAAAAGATCATGTTTTTCACCCAAATGATACAGACACCAGGAAATTATACTCATCACAGTAATTGAGAGAAACATTCTGAAATAAATTTACATAAATATTGAAATATCTTGATGCTATATTGTTGATTTGATCAGAGCAAAGTATTACTTATCTACTAGTAAATAATGCACAATAATAATACCTCATAACCTTTTGGGTTGTAGGTAACCATCGAACCGGTGATAAAGCATCAACAGACCGACTTAATAATATATGAATTACTTTACACGCCATGATTGTAAAAATAAATATAAGCACATAGGGATCTATTAAATAAAAATTCTGAAACACACCATATGCACAATTTAGAATTCCTCGATCCTTCCAGCATCAGTCTTCATGAAATTGGTGAATCAATGCACCAATATATAATATATACAACATACCATAGCATAACAATTATATGAATGTGGCAACCACCAAACAGTCTTGTATATATTCAGCAATTGCATGCAAGTCGTCATGATCGAAATAGCCAAAGACATGATCTCGAAGGTTAACTGTCCATCGACTGGCACCACAGGTATAGGAATATGCTTTGGTGCCAGAGTTTTTCCATTGTGAATCTCGTCAGATTTTTTATCGTCCGTGCTATTCCCGACCGTCCTCTCACCGCTGTTACTTCTTCCACTGGCATTAGTAGAACTTGTGTAAGTACTGCCGGATTTACCAGTCGTTCCAGTACGATTGGCGGCGTTTCGTCTACCTCCGGGCATGTTGCACCGTTTCACTCGTCTATTATTTACAATTCCCAAGAAACACAAGCAACATCGTCGTGATGATTTTTAAACAATCGCAGGAAACCCTGTAGAACGTGGACATCTTTCTAGACGCTATTTTCCCAACATATCGGTTAGGTCACTGTAAACAAAAGCACGCGTTGAGTACGTATCTATAGCGTGCATAAATTAACTTCCTTCATGATGTATGTAAACAATAGTGTGTGTCTACAGTGTCACGCACTATACACGATTATTTTTAGGATGTAGCTTTAAAATAACGATGTCGAATTTCGAATTAAAGTGTGAATTGAACATAATATGCATTTGCGATATTACAAATAATTTGTCGAATATATTTGGTGATTAAAAATACGATTGTTATACCGCTATATCTCGCGATAATATTATCTAACACATTTCCAAGTTATGTCAGTATACACATAAGATCCGATGATTTTTACACAATATACAGTAAAATTTCATACACACCTCCGAATCTGCAACGTCTATGCACGCTGTGTAGGTGGCGTTCAGATGCTCGACAAAAATGACGTTGGAACAAAGAGATTGGAAATCCTTGTGAGCAATGGATACACAAGCAGTTTTCGATGGTGGCGTGTGGACGATTGCTCAGGCGTCCAGTAGCCATTTATAATAACAATTACACAAATAGTTTCGTAGTGTTATCTCGTGCAAAGTGCAATCTGCAAAGTGTCAATTATGACATTTTTCTCAGTGATTTTTGTCAACGTTGCGAGTATTTGCAATTGATACTTTCCCCTGGCTGAAGGCCCTTGTTAACAATTCTTTAAGTGAAAATGTTGGTATAAACATTATGTAAAATACTAACATGTTAAACAAATAATGTGTAATTATAAAAGCTTGAAAATTTTATTATGTGTCATATTAGTGCACTAATATAAATGTAAAAATTAGTGTTGTTTTCTGAACTTGTAAACATTTACAGATGTTTAGTCCTATACAGATAAAACATGAATGCACGGGTGTAGAGGATGTAAACGTGAGTAACAGAGTCAATACTTCAGACAATTCTGCATATCCTATTTTTATCAATCAAGATGTGGAATATAGGCGTCAGTTATCTCAATTTTGGGAACAAGCATTATCGGATGAGGTATCTGAAAAAAGTGAAGTTAATAATCAGCAGACTACGTTTCAGGTAGAAGTGAATATTTAAGGATCATTATGCAAGCATATGTTCTGTCTATCATATATAATTTTATATATCTATTGTAGGAAAGTGGAACCTTACCATATGCTAAGGACTATATACAAAATGGTATATTCTTTCAAGTTAATCAAGAGAATGGTAACAACCAAGTGCAGATTAACAATCAGTGCCAACAGAGCACAAATAATGCCATCATGGTACAGGAGAACAGACAGCCACAACTGCAGCAAGATTTACAGGATGTCAGAAGTATTAATCAGACATCAACAGCACAGTCATCAGCTGTGAAAAGCAACCGTCCTGGAAGACCGTCCAAGGGTTCCATTGAATCTGTTCCAGGCAAGAAATCAAAATGCCAATGTGAGATTTGCTTCAAAGAGTTTGGACACAAGAGCAATTTGTTCATACACATGAGAACTCACAATGGTGAAAGGCCCTACAAATGTACTCAATGTGACAAGTGTTTTACACACAGTGGCAACTTGGCTATCCACATGAGAACACATTCCGGTGAGCGACCATATGGCTGTCAGATATGTGGGAAGATGTTTAGTCACAGTGGTAATCTCTCGACTCACTTAAGGACTCACTCTGGTGTGAAACCCTATAAATGCAATGTGTGTGACAAAGAGTTTAGGCATAGCGGCAATTTGTCAATACACGAGAGGATACATTCCGGCATTAAGCCATTTCAATGTAAAATCTGTGGCAAGGAGTTCTATCACAGTGGAAATTTGACAACTCACATGAAGAAACATCCCGCAAATGCAAAAACGACGGACTGTGAAAGCGAGCAAAACCGTATATTACATACCAATACGGATGCTAACGACCCTGCTTCTACAAATTATTTAAATAATGTTCCGTTAACGCTCGACGACGACGACATTGAATCTATGCATAATACTAATGTGGTTCCTATAAAGAATGAAAGTACAGATCCTATGTTGAGTAGTACTATGGGATTATTAACACCTACTTCCAGTTGAAGCAGCATTATCCAATTGAAGGTCATTATTAGAGATTAAGAGATTATTCAGAGAATACTGAGTCCTAGCATTTCTCCGCTCAGTATTACAACCGCTGACGAGCAATTTTTATTACTGGCAGATAGAAAATTGTTTTCATTTCCATTTGGCAAATATATGCTTCAGCTACTTGGTGTTCCTGAGTCTCAAATATGTAATGCTATTGTATAGCAAAGTGAGGGATTTTTTAACGAATTTTATGTAGATTTATCTATTATTTCAATGGAACATGATTCTGATCTGTGATTTTTTTTTAATTTTTGAGTTATTAAGATAGGATCTGACGCGACAGGGATGTTTCAAGGAATTGTTCAGCATTTATTTATATAAAAATTTTACACACACACACACACACATATATATATATATATATATATATATATATATATATATATATATATATATATATATTTCTCGCGATTATTCGTGTTCATACAAAAAAAACTTTATAATTAATAATATCAAACTTAAACTTCTTTTGAGTTAAATAAGTCAATTATTACAGTTATAATATCTTGATCGTATAAAACATAAATAATGAAAATGAGCGATATCCATTTGGATTTTGAGATCCTATGTGCAATTTTATGTATAAAATAAATTGATGACAATGGAAAAATTGCTCGTTAAAATTTTTGTTATCGCTATTTTTTATATTTATTTCTAATTGTTATAGAATCTATTTCATTAAACTATTTACTCTCGGTTTTTTATATTGTTCGTATAGCAGATATTGATTGAGTGATATAGTTTGCAAGTGAGATAGAAGTTAAAAACTATGTAACTTTCGTATGCTTATATTGGTTGAATATAAAATTCTATCCTATTTAACATTTCCGAATAATTTTTGTGTAGCAATGTTTAATAATAAATTTTTAAACAAACTAGATTTGGCATTCGTGATTTCCTTTTGTTACAATTATGTACAATTTCAAAAATTACATTACATTTTACTTTATATTATATATATTTATCTATCAAATTTGAAATTAGATATAATATCTAAATCTTAGTCATCTTTTTAGACATATCCAGTTTAAATCATGAATACTTCAAAGTTTAACAATTTATACATATAATATTAATGATTGCACAATCTTTTCCTCACTCGGAATGTATTATAATACTTTTAAGGTGAGAAGCTTGATCCCATGTTACTATCATTGTAAAATTAATAGTTTAGCTGTCTACAATAATTATTACTTTGTATTTATTTATATAGATAAAAATATGGAATGTTATCTGTTATGTATTAATATCTGTTATAAAGTCATTGGTTTAGACTAGGGTAACTATGATGTTAATGTGATAAACATTGTCTTAGTAAAAGATTCTTGCAAAGATTCTTTGAACCTTCTACTGTTGCTGGTTACTTTCACGGAACAAATGTGTTATTGCTTGATAAAACGTTCGCGTACGATTAACGTACGACTTTTAACGGCACAGTCATGTTTCGCGGCAGACGAGCTTCAAGAGCTTCCGCCACGTTCTCAGAAAGTTCATGCCAAATGTACTTTCCGATTATAGGCACATCTTCTAAAGGCAATTTGAAGGATACCAATAATGTTAAGCAAAGACCGTCTCCTCCTTGTCCGCCGCTAAATTCTACGGACAACAAGCCGTGCGGCTTATGTTGCGCTACGTCGTCCCCGAATATTTCCTGAAAGAATGTAATAGAGATATATGAATACATATTTATAGGATTCCCTTTGAGAAAATAAATTAATAATTTTCCTAAACTTTTATGTGATAGAATTAGATTCTTTTGAGATTTGCACAGAAATCATTTTTATTGCAAGGTACACAAAATATATATTATTATTTGACATATAAATTATATGTGAATGTTGTAAAGCAATACTTTCCTAATATACTCACTGTCATAAAGCTATGCAAAGTAGACAATAAACTACGATTTGGATTGATTTCACAGACTGGCAGATCATATTGTTCTGTATCAGAAAGAAGCACATGCAACCTGTTCCTATTAACAATATTTGTTTACTTATTTATTACCTTATTCACTATTTAGCTAGGCTTTATTTTTAAAGATTGATTGTATATAACTTACGTTGCTCTTTTCTTAGATGTGACTGTTAATCTCAGCAATAGTTTTGCATGAGATTTGATCACAGGCATCAATTGAGGATGTTGAGGAACAGTCTTATTCAAAACATAACTCTTGCCTCTGTCCAACAGATAGATGATATCATTAGATCTTAATGGCAAGTCATTTATATTTCGTACCCAGCATGCCTGCAGAGATTCCTCGTTTGCTTGATCAGGTGTTTTTAAAGTACCACCAATTATGTCTCCAGTAAACACAAAGCGAAACCATGTACCATTAGCACATTCTACCAGTATTAAAGTTGTTGGTGCCAGCACTAGTCCTGTCTCTTCCAGGACTTCTCTCTTTACTGCACTGAACAGGTCTTCATTTTGTTCTACTCTGCCAGCTGGTAAATACCACTTTCCACTGCAAGAAGCTTTAGCCTCTTGCATCATCAACATTTCACCCTGGTCATTTATGACAACAGCGGCAACGATATACGTCACCGTTTTCAGGCAAATAGGAATGTGTGATGTCAGTTGACCTGATTTTGCACCTGAAATGTATATTAGCTTAAATCTCTCTCTTTTTCAGAAAGGAAAAGTTTTGGAGCTTAGTGAGAACATTACGACAGTAATTGTTATACAAAAACATTTAACATACCTACTGTGTCACTCGCAAGAACATGTACATTACATGTATCATCCGTTTCTAACACCTGTCCGGCGAGTAACGATTGAACTTGATTTTCTATGAAATCTGACATGTTATACACAAATAAAAACGGTATAATGCGTTATCTACACGTGTGACACGTAATTAAAATATTCATTAAACGTGTGAACCAACAAACGTTAAGATCTTTACACGATCGACTGACAAACAATGTGAAAGTGACAGCAATTAATATGTAAACGTGCGAAAAAATATGTAAATTGAGATGTGCGGTTTTAGTTGCGTCTTTACTACCGATGCATGTGTTGCACCATAAAATTCCCTACGTCATCTTTATTTTCTCGCGAAATATTATTTTTAAAAAGATATTTTGCGTTTAAGAAGCATAAAAATGATAATTGTCTTCTTTTCAGACATAAAACGAGCAATAACGAACACTTATTAAATTCGGAATATATTTTGGTTAAATTGGCATTACTGCAGTTGTTCGCCATCGACGCTGTCAGCAAATTTTATTTGCAAGATTTGACTAAAAATAGTAAGGTTGAAATTATATACAAATGCCTGATAATGTAATGTTGAAAGTGTTATCATTGGAAATTTATTGCTTATTATCGTAGGAATCGGTATAAATTCTGAAAAACGGATTAAGGGAGAGGATAATTCTCAAATATTATTCTCTACTTAGGAGACCGCTCGAGAGCATCAACGACTGGATGTGACTTTTAATTATTCGACAGAACAAACACAGTGTAGTAATGAGAGAGAAATCTAAATAAAAATAAACTGAAAATGGATGCTTTAAGTGTGCTGATTGTGATAGCTCTGATACATTGTTCACTATTTTTTTTTGATACACTTTTTAAGGTAAATCATCTTCCTGTGATGTTTCTATCATAATTTTTTAGAAAAAATAGATAAAGATTAATATAAATTATTGATTACAAAGAATAATATTTATAATATAAAGTGCGTTTTTCTAAGTTTTAAAAGCATTATTCTGTGTTATTAATATTAAAGTTTTCTGTCATGAAATTCTATACATTTTTTGTTTTTTATTTGACTATGATAAATTTATTGTGGTTAGGAACATAAGAAAGATAATCTTACAATTAATTTTTTCAGTCCTGTTCACATTTACCATATTTCTATTTTCTGAAGAACACTGGCTTGGAAATCCAGATATTGAGAGTGAAATGGTTTACAACTGCTTTCAATCGCAAAATAATTAAATGGGGAATGGACCGTTCTAGATTTTGGGCTGCTTGGTTTAATGCTGGTGCCATAATAAGTATTGTGTTATTACCAATTGCTGTTGTCATTATCTTAAAGATGACATTTAATATGTGGCTGGCTGGATCTTCAAGCGATACTAGTTCAGGAGCTATATTAGAGCCTATGGTATATTTTAAAATATTCACATAATTATAAGGAATTTTATTTTTATTTTATTATGATATATTAAAGCATATATATATATATATATATATATATATATATATATATATATATATATATATATATATATAATATAATCTTTAATAGTGTGCCTAATTATTAATTTATATAGTTTAATCATTGATTTTTAATCTTTCACATGTACATTTAACTTTTATAATTATATATATTTCAGTTACCAGGAGTGGATATTCCGTTTAATGAACTTGGCTATTATGTAGCAACATTAGCAATATGCAGTATAGTTCATGAATTAGGACATGCTCTTGCTGCAGCAAGAGAAGACGTGCAGTTATTTGGTTTAGGGATTTTGATCTTCTTCACCATTCCAATAGCTTATGTACATATAAGCAATGAACAACTGGTTGCATTGCCTCTAAAAAATCAATTCCGTGTGACATGCGCAGGAATTTGGCATAATATTGTTCTTGCTACAGTAGCTGCAGCGATTCTTGTGTTTTCTACATGGTTATGGGCGCCACTCTATAGTCTTGGTTATGGGGTTTACGTGAAGACTATTTTACCAGTGAGTATTATCAAGATTGTTAACAATATATTTTGTATAAATATATCATTCAAATGAATTTACTTTTTTGATAATGTTCAATATGTAGAATTCACCTGTATTGGGACCGACTGGTCTCCTGGAACACGATGTGATATACAAGTTAAACAGTTGTCCTGTAAAAAATAGCCAAGACTGGTATGATTGTATATTGCATTCAATACAACATTCAACTCCTGGTTATTGCGTTAGGCAATCATTTATTCAGGTAATATTTTTGGAAGATACTTAATTTCTATTGTTTATGTTATTTTTTATAAGCTATATTAATATTCTACAATTTATAATGCAAACTTCTGCAACTTCAATCTTAGTTTTGGTGTCATTATTTTAGGATTTCGACGAATCGGTGCCAGCTAAGCAAAAAACAAATGGAGTCGTGAACTGTTGCACAGCCGATAGTGAAACGAGTGGCAGTCTGTGTTTTGAATATATTGAAGGGCCACAAGCTGCTCCTCTTCATCTACCTCCGCATTCTTGCCTTCCAGCAAGGGTAATGATTAATCAGTCGCAAAATTTTTGTCAAACTAGTCACGAATGTTTATCTCAAGATACTCATTGTATGAAACCTTCTTTAGACAATGTGACAAAGGTAAGTACAAATTAGAGATGCCAGATATTTGTACCTAGACTTTCATAATCATTATCAAGGAATAGATATAATTTATTTCTAACTTTTTATATTACAGATTATACAAATAAAAAGGAAGGTAGGTAAGGATGTGTTATTCTTTGGTCATCCAGCAGACATTTATAGAACTGTCGATGTATCAGATTGGGTACCAAAGTACTCTTTTCTTCATCCCAAATTACCCGAATCGTTATCATTATTTTGCCAATATATTACAGTATTTTCAGCAGGGCTGGCGATCATTAACGTTGTACCTTGCTTCTTTTTAGATGGACAGTACATTATAAATATACTTGTACTTTATTTATTAAATTCCAGGCCATATAATAAAAATATTAGAGAAGCCACTGTACTTACAATAACAACTATAGGTACATTGCTGCTTATAGTAAACTTAATGTATTTACTTTCAAATAAAATATTGTAAGTAATCTTATAATACTCTTTCATTTTTTTCACCTTCAACTACCATAGGTGTGAAATTCTTACAACTGTATCTCTCTTATGTAACAGTTTATTGTTCATTTTAAATACTAATTCTGATGATTTACTTTTAATAACATGTACATTTTTTGTGATGTTAATTAAAATATTTTGATATTTAATTTTTATAGTATCATTACATAAAAAAAATATTTAGGTACTAAAGATATAAATTTTTCAATGCAAGCTTAAAAAAATTGTATAATATTCTCTAAAATCTGATGTATTTATTTGTGATATGTATATGCATTTGATATATATTACTATAACTGTCAAATAAAAACGATACTAACATTTATAGGGAAGTAATGAAAAATTTATACTTATTTTCATATTTATATTTTATTAACATTATGTTATTATGAACTGTTTATTATGAAAATTTCCCGTTATCCTGTCCAAGATATAAATAAGATCTTATTTTAAGATTTGTTATCGTTTTGTTGCTCCTTCAACATCCAGTGCTAAAAGAAAAGAACATTATAATTTACAAATTAAAAGAAATAAGTAAATATAAGCAATTGTAGATAAATTGTTATATAAAGAATTAAAATCTTATGAAAAAAGTATTTATCATTCTTATGAAAATTATTCATAGTGGACATGTTGAAATAAATGTATTAATTGATTATAGACTTCAAATTATTTAATATATCATAGGTCATATTTGGTAGAATCAATACTCACTTTTGCCATCACAAGCAACAATTTTTACTTTGTCTACTATTGCAACCTCTTGAACTTCACGGAATTCAACATCATTTAGCATAAATGTCCATACATTATCACAAAATCTATATGTATTCAACTTGCCAGCCTAAAATAATAATAGATTAATGCTGTTGTTTTTAGGTCATAATAAAGCTAACTGAAGATGTTCTATGCTGAACTAATTGGATTTGTATTATACATATGTTGTACTGCCATATGGCACCTATTGGCACAATACATTGGTGTTAATAAAACATTCTTAAAATGATTTACCTTAAACGTAAGCCTCGATTTAACTCTTGTTGCAAGAGCCTGATTAATAACTTTGTCAAACTGCAATAATACTTTTATTGCAAGCTGTGGTGTTATTTGTCCATACTGTAACATAAAATATGTTATTTTATTTACTTAATGTAAATAAATTTTTTTTACGCTGTATAGACTCTTGAATCTAACCTCTTACACATTGTTATTACAATTATGCACTTACCTGTATTAATTCATCCAGACTTTCTTGCAGCGTATTTCCCAAAGTCGTATTTCTATATAATTGGTACGACATGTTGAGAAAATATATCGCATATATTGTTGCAACTTTAAAGCTATAGAGACGATTTATACATAACAATAACGTTCGCTCGTGTGCATCCGCGTGCTACTTTTAACGCACACGTACACGCGTCAGCTTCTCAAGCTTCAATGCATCGATGTTTTACAAAACCATACGTTTAAAGAGAAAGGTTGAGAAAGGACAATAATATTTATTTGTGATTGGTGTACAGATGGCATCCAATGGCATCACAAAATTGTAGGATAATCTAAAAGTAGCCAATAGCTGCGTTCAGCAGAGAAAACTGCTTTGCAACTGTTGCAAAATTCGTGAATCTGATTGGTACATGCTTTTAAATTCAACCAAATTAAGAGCATACTCCAATCAGATTCACGAATTGTATATAGTTGCAAAGCAGCTTTCTCTGCTGAACGCAGCCAATGGCCGCGTTCAGTAGAACAAGTGATCAGTAAGCGCTCAGGGAGCTCTTGTATATGATTTGGCATATTTTTTTAGATCTCCAACTATACTCCAATCAGATGCAAGAGCTCACTGAGCGCTTACTGATCACTTGTTCTACTGAACGCTGCCAATGATAATGTTGGACAAACGAAACTAGTGTCACTATGGTTGCGTTCTTTTATTTACAACAGATGTAGCTGAATTAGAGATGCCCGATTCTGAATCAATTCGATTCTTTCCCCAAAAATAGGCTTATTCGTGTTGTTGCACTTTTCATATTTAAAACCAGACAAAAGTATATTGGAATGTTTGGAAGAAGCAAAAGCAAGATAACTAACTCGATTGTTTCTTCTAAGCGTCTGATTAGACGTCCATCTCTTTTTAAAAGTATGAAACATGCAAGCAGCACGAACAACTCTTTTTTCCTAAATTTGTTATGGAAAGAATCGAATCGATTAAAAATTGGGCATTTTTAAGCTGAATGCATCTCGTGGATGCATCAAGATTGCACTCTTTAAGGTTATTAGCTAGTGACAGTACTAGTGTACTGTCCCTAGAAAATAAATTTTTAAGCGCGTAACCAATAAATTGCGACATTTAGTATTTCTGTTGGAATTTCTAAAAGAATAAAAAGATGTGATTGGTTACGCAGTTACGCGTAATGCAAAAATATATGCCATGGGACTCCACTCTAATTTTACAACGAATAAAATGGGACGATTTGATTGGTTCGCGAAGGACGACGCCACGCGTGATGCGTTAAGTGGGAACGCACCCTAATGCTCGTTTTTACCAACTTTTGTCAACTTAACCGGTTGGTTATTTCAATGGAATTGATCAATCGCACTTCTTTTTGTCAGAATTAACAAGTGCCATTGGTTAATTCTGTTAGAATAACCAGCCAATTAAGTTAACCAAAGTTGATAGAAATGGGCATAAGGGCCGATTGTTCCAACTTTTTGGTACGTAAACTGATAGTTAAATCATGTGTCTGGCTTTGTTTTTTGAAAAAGATATAGAATATACTAGAAATATTGCGTTTTGATTGGTATATTTTTAATATGTTACTAGATCTCATTAGATCCAGCATGAAAACAAAGGGCTACTACCCACAGGGCTGCGTTCAGATTTCCCACCCGGATGTATTCTATTACTAGAAGTGCTATAATATATGTAACATATATTATAGTGTTTCTAGTAATAGAGTGCACCCGGGTAGGGAATCTGAACGCAGTCCAGGACGCGGAATAGCTTGCCGCACAGCAAGAACTGACGCGATAGCCAATAAACTTCTAGGTTTTATAGAAAAATAGTTTGTTGATTGGCTATCACGTCGCTTCTTGCCGCATCTTGTGGGCAGGAGAGCCAAAATACCGTGTGCCGCTAGTATTTGTGCAAGGAAATTTCTGAATGACCCTTTCTTTCTTCTATTATCTTTAGTAATATAAGTGTGTAAGTAAAGAAGTATGTAATAAAGAAGATTATTATATAAAAATCTTGTCACTTTGCTCATTGTAATAACAAAACCTATACTTGGTAACCGTTTTTCAGCAAGGTACACCGAATTACACCAGCCATTTTATTGGCTACAGATTATCTTCTAAGATAACATGTAGCTAATAAAATAGTTTTGCGCAACACAATGTTGCTTATTGGGAAACGACCCATAGTAACAATAATTTGAGAACTCTTTACATGAACGCACTGCATCTAGCTATTTGTAGTTCATGTCTATTGATCAAAGAATCAAAACTAATTTTCCGTTAACAATTAAAATTTAATATTAAATTAATAATTTATATAATACTATATAACTGTATGGAGTGTGAAAGTGAGAACTAATGAAACCGATGAGGCGTAATTGAACGAACTCGTAGCCGCTGTAACCTGCTGAATGTTTGATCGCGCCACTTACAGACTGTACATACGGCAGGTAACTGTAACATCTACCTGGTCAAATCGGTGTTATCCCAGGAACACGTGAAAAACGCGCGTGGTACATTCTTGGAGCCTTCGATACAGTTTCTTTTATCTGTCATTTGTCAAAGCCCGACATACTCATATTGAGGTTATATCATATATATTCGCATACTCTACCTACGAATATCGAAGGTTGGTTCTTTATAATTGCACTTTCTGTACTTTATTGCGATTTTATCTCTTTCCACTTTCTCTATCAGATTTCAGGCAGATGTCTATTGCACGCGTTAAGTACGAACACAAAGTGTAAAGTGATGCGGCAAGAAAATACAGATCCCAAATATCGCGTTCGTTTACAAAATGTGCGTGTTGCGTGCTAGCAAATGTCAATATATATAACGTATATAAATAGTGTGTGTCTGATGTTCGCTATATTTTACGTGACAACTACAGAAATTCTGTAAACAAATCCATAAGAAGCGCAGAGTTCCGTCGCCGGTAACGATATCTCGCGTGGCGCTAGCGGCACTGCGATTCTCGAAAGTTTCGCCGCCACTTGTGATTTAAATTCGCCGCACTTCGCACAGTTGAAAAACTCTCGCAACACGGTCGGCACGCTCCGTTCACGCGCAGTGTTATCTCGCAGTTTACGTTCCATCCCACGTTGTTTCCGCGTTAATCTCGCATTATTGTGCTTCGCGTTTGAGGATCGTGTGCCGGAATGCAAAATACGCCGTCCCGTGTGCAGCGACGCTGTTTAATTCGTCGACGATCGCCGGCGGCAATTTGACGCCGTTTACCCGCCATTACTCTCTTCTTCCCACATATCGATTCCCACGGTAAGTACGCTAATAGCAAGTTTTTCAAATTCTATCTAGCAAATTCTATCAAATGCGGCAATCATCACCAATATTTCTCGACTTGTTTTTTTATCTACAAGAGCTATGTGCTTCTTTCAGTGAACTAGTACGTGATATAAGTATGTGATTCGTCGTGGAATATTTAAGTCAAATTGGGATCGCAAAATCATTGACGAAATGGCGGCCGAGCATTGCAGCGAGTTTAGTGAGTAAAGTAGATGTAGTATTTTCAATGATATAGCGAAATGAGCCGTTCTGATCAATGTTGCATAATCTTTCTGTCTTTTTCTCTCTCGCACTTTGCGAGTTCTTATATTCGAGGCAATTCCGGGTTAACGCAATGAGAGAGAAACAGAAAGTCATATTCATAGCGGGAATCAAAGACGAGAGGGAGGGAAGCATGATTTCAATGGGGTAATTGAAACGCAATAACGTTTGTCATGTTTCTACGATCCGTTTGGTTTCTTTCAATACTACTTTAAGAAGACGATTACGACCAACCCGATTTACGTGCCGATAGAGGGTGGACAGGGATTACTTCTCGAAGTCGTTCCAATTCTTTTCTTGCTCTTTGAAAACTCTTCTCTTGCAATGGTCGAGCTTATACTCGTACATTGAAAAAAAATGGCTAACATCACCAAAAATAATTGTTATTTTCGGCGCCAACTGTATCTTCTTTTTATAATCAAAAAGTAGAGTAAGCGAACCTATTTCGGAACAGCATCTATTTCGAAACACTTTAATTTTTTTCCTGTATTAGCCGTCAAATAATATCAAATTTTCATATTAGTAACAAAAAACATGTTCTTTATTACTAACATGAAAATTTGATATTATTTGACGGCTAATATAGGAAAAAAATTAAAGTGTTTCGAAATAGGTTCGCTTACTTTAAAAGTAGCAATATTCATATTAATTTATTACCACAACACTACAGTAACATTTATTATAAAAATAGTTCTCCTGATTATAATTTTTTTCTATGTGATTACAATGATAAATTTTAATGATTTTTTCAATGCAATTGAAACTTTAACAATTTTCTAAATTTATTAGTGGTTTTATCAAAATTTTATAAGGTTTTATTAGTATTAATTTCGCGTCACATACTGTTATAATAAATAAGATAAAGGAAGGAATTGGGATAATTCGATCACATGTGAGAGAAATTGTACGTGTGATCGCGTTTGCTGTGCTTTAATTGAGACACTTGATTTTTCGATGGGCAATGAAAGAGCGGCACAGATGCGTGTAAAAAAAATTGCTTTTCATTTCATGTCGTTTTGTCGACTTGTCAGCAAGTTTAAAGACGCAGCATCGATATTGGGTTTGGACTCGAAATTCGCACTTATGCGACGCTAGTACTTGCTTTTGCGACGGCGCGTTATGTTGGTGAACGACCCAAGTAAGGTGAACGACCACGAGAAAGTGGGCGGGACGACTACGCTTATCTAAGCCGGGAGGAGGGGGATGTGACGAAGACCGGGCCGCTTTCACTTACAGCACGAGGTGACTTACCATTAGTCGTACGCCGCATTCCATTCACGTGTCGCGTCGCGCATATTTGCAGTGATTACGCTGACCGATCTAAATCGCGGATCGATACAATCGTCAATAACTCCACTTGTAGACGTCGTAGCGACTTGAAACAAGAACCATTGGAAAGGGAAAATTGCCGTGATTCCAATGAACGTGAAATCGTCCTGTAAAATAAGGATCAAGCAGCGTAACCATGTAAGTGCAAAATATTATCGGTTTTTGTGCTTGCGTTAATCCAGGTTAAAAGCTAATGGAAAATTTCGCATTAATCCAGGTTAAAAGCTAATGAAAAATCGGTTTAGATTTCTATAATCTGAAGCGTCACTTTCATGATTTTGACGGATATAAAAAACATTTTAAGAGAAAAGCAAGATGATAGTAATGGGAACTTTTAGTTTAGCTAGTTTTGATTTTTTAGTGTAGTGCCAAAATTAATAAATCTAGTTACGGCAACAATGATAACTGTCTTTATTTCAATGATGCATCTTAGTTGCCACAGCTATATTTTAGCTACTACGGCTAATCCTTTTTTTACATGTGTATAAAGTGGTTCTGAGAGCATTTTATTATTCACGTTGAATAATGTATATGCTGCACAGAAACCATGTAAAATTCGATATTTTCTGGGAACAATTTCATTTTATATTGATTAAAACGACTCGTTTCTCTAACAATGATTTATTTTATCGCATGTGTCATCTTCGATAATTTTACACTTTTGTATATCAAAATTGAATATCCATCGTTATATACAGAGTGAGTCATATAATATTTGATTCTAAAATGCTTCTGTGTTGTTTTTTATTTTAGAGAAAAATGTGTAAGGAATAAATTGTGTGGTTGGAATTTTGTGTGTTAACCACGATATTTACTCCTTTTAATCCAACCGCACAATTTATTCCTTATATATTTTCCTTTAATATAAAAAGCAATAGAGATATTTTATAATCTAATGTTAGGTGACTCACCCTGCATATTCTTTTCTTTTTAATAATACAAGTTATGTACAGTTTTTAATATCATTTAGGTTATTAAATATTCCAGCAAATTTAATAACAATTTATCATAGTATGCTAAATGATGTATTATTTTATCACAAATATTATATACACCACAAAAAAATAATAGATACATTTCCTAGTATAAAACACCATCCATACCACTAAACATACCGGCAGACAAAAATGTTTCAGACAAAAGTTATATGGATCGATGGGGGACATAAAAAGGTATCATTAGTTTGACTTTGCGTGGCCCCGCTAAGGTCAGGTCGAGGTTAATTTTGCTTTTTTAAATAGAAACATACATTTTTTTATTACGGAATTTTATTCCACGTAAAGAAACAAACAACTTTTGTTTGAAAACATTTTTTATCCGACTTTTATTTTCTAAAATATTTACGGGAATTTCTACAAAATTATTGGTTTCAATAATTTTTTACTTGAATTCTATTAACTTTATCGAAAAAAAGCGAGAGATAAGAATTGTTTGTTTTCTTTTTGTAGAGTTCTGAGAATTTTTACAAAATTTTTAATTTTTAATTTTTAATTTTTAATTTTTAATTTTTAATTTATTAGTACTTCAAGAAAATGCAAGGAAATGCAGTACTAAAAAGTTAATCAAAAATTCTGAAAAAAATCTCAGAGCTCTATGAGAAGAAAATAGACAATTTTTATCTCTTGCTATTTTTCGGTAAAGTTAATAGAGTTCGAGTAAAAAAATTATTGGAACCAATAATTTTATAGATATTTGCGTAAATATCTTAGAAAATAAAGGTTGGATAAAAAATGTTTTCAAACACAAGTTATTTACTTCTTTACGTAAAATAAAATTCCATGATAAATAATGTATGTTTCTATTTAAAAAAGCAAAGTTGATCTCGACCTGACCTTGGCGGGGCCACACAAGATCAAACCAATGGTACCTTCTTATGTCTTCCATAGATCCATATAACTTTTGTCTGAAACATTTTTGTCTGCCAGTTTTAGTTTTCAAAATATTCGGCTGGATAAATTAAAATGGCCCACCCTGCATATATATATATATATATATATATATATATATATATATATATATATATGTTTTATAGCTGTGTTATAGCTGATACAATCGAGAGATAAAATTATAACGAAAAGTTTTACAGTACGTCGTATAGAAAAATTTAATTGAATTTAATTGCGCAATATCGCGGGTAATTTTTAGCACGAACATTGATGTAATTTTGCGTTGAGCTCGTAGCACGATCGCTATTTTCTTTTTGTAAATTCGCACGAGTGGTACGGAACGTGAAAAAGGCACAAGGGGAGGGGGGTAGCAGGTAGAAGCGTTATAACTATCCGTCCGGTTCAGATGCTCGAGTAATTGTCGGCCCAAAGTTTAGCTCGCATGCGAAACTTTTCTCGGTAAACCGAAGGAGGTGCACAAAGCTCTCGAGCCGGAAATGAATAAGCAGCTCCCATGAACTTAGCGCACGAAAGTGTATCTGTCTTCTCGCGTACCAGGTGTTTCGTCAGATTTATTAGCATCAATCGCGTTTTTTAATCATCTTGCAATTTAGAATACGTGATGTTTTCTCACTTAAATAGATGTAGTCATTTCTGGACATACGCACACACACATACACATTAGACAATAACACTCTCTAAAGTACAATCAATACATTGAACTAACACTCTCTAAAGTACAATCAATGTATTTTTCACTAAAATGCTATTAGTAGTTCAGTCATAAGTATAGCACTGCAATCAGTAAAATCTCGCTGAAAGGATTAGTTGATTGTAACGATTGTTTCTATTATCGATACAGTTTGCAAACATAGATAATGTTATTGCACGAAAATCGCATGGAAGTCGGTAATTCCATCGTCATAAACGCAAAAAGTTAGATTTGGCACAGCGTGTAACGAATTTGTAGTGTGCACACATTTTACAGATTGAAATTTTATTTGTACTGATCAACATTAAGATAATATGAGATGAGCAGTAAAGTCGGAGTGTTTCTATTGAAAATCAGTAAATATTCATTGATTATCGTTAAAGATGATTCTTTTACTACTTTAATTAGAAACATTTTTACTGATCCGCTTTGAAAGAATATATAATCTATTTTTTATCCCATTAATGGCAAAATCTTTGACGATTCTAAAGGCGATTGATGGGATTATTACGTACTTTATCTACGGTTTCATGGATGGTAAATACAACGTGTTCTCTAACAATTTCTTTATATTGAAATGTTCTTAAAATTCGAGTTTTGTGTTGATTTAAATTTTATTGACAGCGAATACATTGATGCCGATGCGAACGAATCGTTTCGAATTCGGGCAGATCAGAGTGTCAATTAATTCGACGCGGGCTAACAGCGACGAGTAACTAAAGTTGTTCAAAAGAGATCCGGCTGAACGAGGCGGAACGAAAGTGATGAGAAATGAGAATTGTCAAAAGAGACTCGGCTACACGGGGGCGACAGAAGGGAGGCGAACGGTACGACGAGTTTTCGTGAAGGGAGGGTTACAGTTTCGTGAGTTTCTTCGCGGCGGAAAGAAAGTGAGACAAAGTTCGAAACGACGTCGCTCGTGTAGAATCCGAAGGTGCTGGCGTTATCGCAGAACGAAAATAAGAAGCTAAGAGGGAGCGGGATAAAAAGATTTTCGTAGCGGGGAGGGTG